GGGGGTGGCGTGAAATCCAGCATGACCACCGTCACAGAACCAACACGACAATGACTAAAATCCACAATTAAGTCAGGTGGAAAAATGCAGGATTTCTGAAGTCTGAAGTGTCAGGATAACATCGTCATCCCCATCCTAATCCTTCCGTTGCCACAGACGGGAACCGACAGCCGAGCGGGGAGCCGAGTGATGAAAGCGGGAGAATGTAATTTCACTTCTCCAACTTCCCTGCGGTTATTTAACGTGCAGCCCCCCCACTCCCCTTTCTCCGAAATCTCCCCCACCCACCGTGGAACAATCTTCCGTCCGTACTTTGATGATAAAGGCGGCGACCTGCTAAGTGTACGCATTAAAATGTATCACTCAGATGAATACATCCCTTTGAACATGAGCCATTGTCAGCGCTCGGAAAAAGTCCAAGGAGTGGAAATGAAAAGGGATTATTATTATGATTATGATTATTATTACGACAACGATGCAGACGTGAGCATTGACATCCGGCTTGCCGTGCTTGTTGGGAAGCAACAACGTAAAGACAGGCCACTGGGCGGTGACAAAATAATACGTTGATATTAGAGAGGTGCTTCGGCATGGAAGTGGAAATTTGGTGTGAGGATGAAATTATGTAAATTAGCCTCATTGACATGTCACAACATGGCAAATTTAAGATCGGTTTGCTCACTGACGTTTTCAGAAATGAGCATCTCACTAAAAGATTTATTGGGTCATGCGGCTTCACACTTGATGGGTGAGCAGGCGCTCCAGTCAATTTTCCACGATAAGCCTCATTTAAACAAGTCATAGCCCAAGTATGAATATGAGCGTGAATGTGCTGCAAAGCACAATTAGATATTGACTTTTTCTCCCGCGTAAAGGACATCATTTGGAAAAACACAATCAAACAGCTGCCTTCGCCAAGTGAAGGGTCGGCACTCGGGTCGGTTTTTATTGGGTTGCCGATTGTCGGCGTGAAAACGCTGTAAGCGGTTTTATTGATCTACACGCAGGAACATAATTTCGCTGCAATTGGCTTTATAATTCATGTCTGTTGTGGGTCTGATGGCCGCACTGATCTATTTTGGCCTATGTTTAAATAGCCCCCACAACCTAATAAATAAAATAGGACGTGCCTGAAAACGCTGTTCTGATAGAAACTGGTAAAGGGCTCCCTCAAATAGACGGCAACCTTTCACCATCACAAAAAAAAAAATAACCTGGTCGGAATTATCCCAATACATTGACACAATTGCAGAGTCCATTTGAACTCGGGTGCTAACCAAAAGAGCAGCAGCTACCAGATAGATCGATAAGATTTTTTTTTTTTAAACTAAAGGCCTCCAATTCATTTGACAATGATGTGAAGGGCCTTAAGCTTGGGTACTGAGAAGTATGGAGAAAAGTGTATGAAAAGACAAGACATGGAAATGATAAACAACAAATGAAAGTAAATAAGCAACTCACATGGATTTCCCAAATCAAGCTTCCCTTTAGCCTCAGCTGACTTCTGATATAAGGAACCTTGAGGGAGAGAGGGAGGGAATGGACGGGAGAGTCACGGGGTG